TTGCTTTTTCTCAAAAAGATAGGAACAATGATAATTTAAACCACATTAAACTGCAGTAACTGAAAATAATACCGCAGTTTTAAATTCCTACTCGTATGAGTTATTAAACAGAAAATGGAAAGCTGGGCAAAAAGGTGAAGTACTGTATCTTCTTACTGATTCTCTCATTTAATCTATTTTTCAGATTATTGAAATATTTTAATGTATAAAAAATAAGGCTATGTGAAGACTACCAATCGCACACAGCATCTTGCGGATGAAGTGTCTTACATATGTAAATGTATGCAAACCCAAGGCTCAAATTTCACAGGCAGTCTCTGCAGACAGAGCAACAAACTACGTAATTTGCAAGGTGAAATCTATTTTACTTCCCTTTGATATCCAAAGGGAAGCTGCTTCTCACTGTTTTCGGGAAGAAGTGCTGGTAAGTCTCCGCAGTGTTTTATCTGGGAGTCGAGGCAGGAAAGGGTTGCAGTCCTACATGGCATAGACCTCTCAACACCTTTTTTGTCCCTGTAGCATGTATGGCACATCCCTTGGCAGAAGAGGGATCTTCTCTGATCACGCAGCCAAAGAGGGAGGGATGCCTGTTCACTAGGTGACATCAGAGGGGCAAGGACTAACCTGCCAACAAAAGCAGGGTGCAGTGGGTAGGGGTCCCCTCAAGTCACATCATATAAAACATTTCCCTTCTCCAGGCTTCAGCACAGAACAGGAGTGAAACCAGGAGGCTCTGCACCACCCAGGTTGCAATGCAGCATCCCAGGCTGCATTTCGGGGGGGGGGGGGGGGGTGTCTCACCGCAAGCCCCCCCCTTCCCCCTGGTGCTGCTGTGGGGAAAGACACGACGAAGAAACAGCAGCACGAGGTGGGAGTCAAACCACCTCTCATGTGGAAAATGTCTCATGTGGAAGCGAGAGACTCGACAAATCTGATCACAGAGTATGCTGGAAGAAGCTTCACAATCCGTGAAGCCATTCTGGTCCATAATTAACTGAAAATTAATTACAGAAACTTGAGAAGAGCACAAACCAAAAATGGGCCAGCATACCTTCACAGTGCAGTTGCTCACTCTGAATCTCTTCCAATAATTAAGTCTAACATATGTCAGTGGAGTTAAAAAAGAAACAAAACAAACCAAAAACCAAAACAACAAACAAACTATAGTTCCCAAAAAAGTTTTGGAGTCCAACTTGCCAAAGAGGTATATCTGCCTGCAGAGCACACACATACTTTCTAGAAATGAGGAGGATGAATTAACGTGGTATTTGGCAACTTCAGCTTTGCAGAAATTACAGGTTGCAGACGCTTCTTATAAAATCAAAACAAAAACTGAGAAAAGAACACAATTAGGTAAATTATTTGCTGATTTGATGAATAATTTTCTAAAGATTATTAGAGGATTTAAGTGCTTGGAAAATGCTCTGACTCTTCAACAAACAAAAGGAGGGAGGTAAACAATAAAACTGCCAAATTAATTTGGTTGAGCATTCATGAAAAGGTGTATTTTGTATCACTGATCACACGTATTTCTTAAAACGTGCTTAAAGCATGGCACGCTGCCACGTATCAAAATCCTATTTTTTTAAAGAAAAAAAATGTTAGCCTGCTGGAAAGTAGAAGATACACAATCAAAACAAACCTGTAACACTGACACAGTAAACAAAAGAAAGTACATCTTAAAATATTGAGAAAGAACATAACCAAAAGAAAAAAAAAAAGAAAAACAAACCACCCAAAGAAAAAAGATCAGTAGATTAATCAGAGATTGAACAAAAATGTTCTGTGGGAAACATGGAAACGCTCTTTCTGATTTCCAGTTTTCCACTACAGAGATTAATATCTTAACAGTAGGAAGACAAATACAGACTTTCCAATTTCAAGATTTGCTTTATAAACCAAGTTATACTGCAGTAACTGAGAGGAGCTGGGTGGCTGCTGGGCGGGGGGTTCTTTCTCTCCTATCTGTAGGTGGGGAGAGCTGCAAGGGAGAGTCAAGTTCTTTCTAGCCCATGGGAGACAGGACTTTGTTCCCCAAGGCAACATTTCTTCAAGATCAACTGGAGGGGTTTTTCTAAATTTATTTTAAATGAGGGGATAAAACATTATGATTATGTACAAGTGGAAAAGAAATGTCCATAGCTTCAGCAACTTGCACACATTTCAGACCTGAGCTATGCTTATGACCCTTTCAAATATCATCTTACTCTATTTCTCACAAATCAAACACACAGATATCTCTGATACAGTTTGGTTTTTGTGTTTACCTTTGCTTCCATTTGGAGGGTGAGAGCTTAAATTAGATCTAATGCACAAAGAGCACTGCACTGTGCAGTGTGACTCAGCTACACAGAGTACTATGCTGCAAGCAGGACTTAAACTAAATTGCAATTACATATTCATTTTCCTCCAGCTCATTACTGTTCACACTGCCTAACAAAATACTTGCACATTTTGACTCTAAGTCCAAATTAGAAAGAGTTAAAGGTCCGCTTCTATTCAAGTAATGTATATTCTTCCAAAACTAGGCTGACCACATGAAACTATAAGCTATGATGTGTCTTCATAGCTGTATGAATATACTCAGTCTGTTCAAGCTAATTATGAAAAAAATGTTATTTAATACCAAACCTTGGAAATTTATATGAAGAGAAAATTACTGTGTTCAAAGACACATTAACTCTCTTCTTGACATTTCCACCTCCTGTATCGTGATGAACTGTACCATATCAGAAACCCCTGCAACAGTATGCAGAGTTCTCAGAATTAAGTCTCGGCTGTTGCTCCTCTGTAGATGCCCAATGCAAAGCTCACCCCCGGGGAAGAAGGATGGCCTAAGCAGCAAAGGGCCTTAAACTACCAACATTTCCTGGCAGACCTGGGCTGGCTCAGAGGCTGAAGGGTCCATTCGCACAATTCGACAGCCCTTGGAGCCCTCTAGAGAGTAACACTGTGCTGCAGGCACTTTACCTCTCTCTGGTAGTCCTCCCCTCTGCCTGCAACCCAGCCTTTCTCTCCCAGACCATGCAGAAGGCATCGCATTGTTGACATCCAGAGCCACTCCCCCATTATTTCATTCACAGCAGTGGTGGAAGGACACTTTTATGCCATTTTAGCTCCTTTACATGGCATAAAGGGATCAAGTCAGGAAAGGAATTAGCTTAGCTTCTCTGTGTGAAGAAAATCACCAAAACAGCTACACTGCAAAGCTCAACGTGCCAGCTGCACACTGCAGAGGCAGACCTGGCCCTCTAGGTCATTAAATACTCATCTCCAACTACAATTTCCAGCAGACTACCAAGCCACAATACAAGGGAAGATTTTTCAATGCATTCCTCGTTTACAGCATTCCAGCCAATACTAAAACAAACCCAATCCCCTTGAACAAAGTTCACCCTCTCCCTTGATTTTTGGAGACGACTGTATGAAAACGTCCCTTGAAACACACGAGGAAAGCGCAGTCAGTGATGAACTCATGACATCGCAGACAAGGCGTCACGTGTTGCTGTTTCAAAAAGGTCATCGAGTCGGATAGTGGCCCGGTATTTTGCTAGAGCACTTAAGCTCACACGCCAGCCTAGGAAGGCAGGCTTACACGAGCTCTGCTGGCGCTGCACAGGACATGGCAATGAAAGATGCCCTGCGGCAGCTGCTGGCAGGCTGCAGCAAAATTTCCAGCACTCCAGGGAGCTGTGCTTCCTGCTCTGCACACATTTTCAACACCTTTTTTTGGGAAGAAGGAGCTATTAATGTGGAGTTCCCATCTCATCACAGAAAAGTGCCGTTCTGCTTCACTTGCTAGATACAGTAGCGCAGATCACAACCAAGGGAAAGCCATCAGCCCTCAGCATGCTGCAGTCCAGCCCCGTTTTCCTCTGGGAAGCAGAAACAAGGGGCCAGGGAACAACGCAGCACCTCAGAATTAGGGAAGGGGTTGAAAGAGGTCTTAACAGGGCTATTCTCAAAAAAAAAGGTAAGGAGCCACTTGCTTGAGAATTTCTGCCTGGAGACAAGACAGAAAAATAAGTCTGGAAGATAGAAAAAGGTACCAGGCAGCAGGCAGGAACCAGGATTTTGCATATAACCTATGAAAGGCAAGCAGCTAAATCTATCTGTAGATTTAAACTAAGCTACCGGGAGAACAGGTCCAGGAGGATAAAAAGGAAATTGCAAGATAGGAAATAATTTGGAGGAATTAATGTGACCATGTTATAATTTTCTGGAAGAGTGAAAACACTCTAAGGAAAGGGTCACTCTGTGCATCAGGGAAAGGACCTGCAGCAAGATCCAACCCCCTGTTCACAGGTAAGATAATAAACCTAAGAGTGGTGGGAAAAAGTGATTTGCAATACAATGTGCTCAGGTGATGACTTGAAACAAGGTGCCCACTGAAGCACAGCCATAATTGTGTACGCACTGCAACTGAAGAACTAAAACAATGGAAAAAACTATTATAAGTTTTGTTATCATACTGTTTTCAAAATACTTTTGATAATTATTAAGAAAAGGGTTTGCCTTTTTGTTGTCAGTATATGAACAATAGAGTAACATCATCAAAATTATTGTATATCCAAACTTTCAGCAATAAATCAATGTAAGTGTTGAATAAGCAACAACAACAAAAAGTTGAGAGGTTTCAGTATGTGTGAATTTGCCTATACGATGGTGTAAAGGTTTTTCTGTATTCGAGAGAATGCTCATCACTAAAAAAAAGCAGGCAATACTTGAAAGCTTAACACTTTTAGCTATATGAGATTCCACTGAAATTACTGTCATCATAAACCACCCACTTTTCTTTTTTTTTTTGAGCCATAAAATACATATCTCCAAAACCTGATTTAGAATGACAATAGCGTTTATTAGCTATTAAGCACTTCTTCGGGATAATTCCACCTTAAACTTTTGAGATTATGCAGCTGCTAGAACTATAAAAAGGCCGCACATTTCCACTGGTTTTGCCTAATCAAATTAAGAGACCAAACTATTAATATTCTGCTTACCTCCTAAATTCATTCCAGCTTGCAGACATTTCTGTAATCGACAGGCTGGGCAGTTCTTCCTCCGTATCTTATCAATTATGCAGTCGTTCCTTCCTGCACACAGGTAGTTGTGCTGTCCTGAATGAACCAAAACCAAAAGGCATTATTAGAGGATATATTTACCTAATTCCACTTTGTTCTTTGTTGTTTTGCAGTCATTTTGAGCTTCTTATTAATGCAGACATTCTCACTCTCATCCTTTAGCCTTCCCAATAATCTTGGTGACTTGTCACAGGCCTTACTATGAGCAGCTCTTCTGTTTAATTTGAGAAAGAGCTTTGCTGTGTCACTCACAAGAGAGAGCTCTCTACTGTTTTCTAAGCAGGACTGGAATTTTCGCTTTGGGAAAAAAAAAAACCCAAAACCCAACAGTTGGTTTGAGCTTTTTCAAATCATCTTACACGTGTTGTATCACAGAGCAGCCTGACAACTTCGAGTTTTGGTACAAAACTGGGGGCCATCCTCACACTGAAGAAGTTCACAATCTAACGCTGAAATGCAAAGTAGAGGTTAACCTTCCCAATATACTTCACTCTCTTTGACCAGTTTACTGAGCGCTTGATTTCCGATTTAATCGGTTACCTTCTATACAGCAGAAGCTTTCTGAGGGGTTTAACCGAAACAAGCTGAAATCACCACCTTATTATTTCAGTTCGGTGAAGCCCCCACAGAAGCACTCCTGAGGAGACAGCAGATATTTAACACACAACATTTAGCAGAAGGGAAATACATGGCAACCAGGGAAATAGGCTGGCATTTAACAACTTGGAGACTCAAAAGACGTTTTGCTTCATGGGAGGAACGTAGGTAGAGCAAACGGATGCAGTGTATCAGATAGGGGGCACTACCACGTGGACTCTTCAAAGTAAGGTGCTTGAATTTGATGTGGAAGAATAAAGGAAACCACGAGGGGTTGGCACAGCGTGACAGGAGAAGCGAGAGGAGAAGATTATTTTAGCTGCCTCAATCCAGAGGTGGCACACAAGGATCTGGGGTGGCCAGAAAAAACGGTCTAGAGCAGATGCGACAAAAAGCAACACAAAGAGCTTCCAGAGGAAGGATGAGAGGAGAGGACACAGCACACACAAGTACAACAGACTGTAAGGTGAGCTGCAAGATCTGCCAGCATGCAAAGTTTAAGAAAACACTCCTGCATAAAATACTGGAGCGTTGCAGGCTTACGCAGTGGGGTGCTGTAAGAACTACCAAGTGTCAGGCACAGGTATTTTAGGCGCAAGGTAAGAAACTCATCGCTCTGTAAACTAAACACAAGTTCATAACAAAGACGCCTGAAATGCCAGGTAAGAGGGGGAAAAAAAATAAATTAAATCAGATTGCAAATGCAGTAACACCAACCATCAACTAAGCAGACTCCTTAAGCAGGTCATGAACAAAGCAGGCGAGGTGTGCAGAAACCCAGGAGTTGTACAAATAACGTTAAAGTTGACGCCAGTGACCGAAGTGAGCCTCAGCTGTGGGTGGGGAGGGGAAGCCCAGGCAGGGCTCAGAAGCAGGCTCGATAAGGGGACAGAGCTGCTGTAGGACAAGAGGTATAAAATATGTTTGCCAAGATACTTTCCACAATACACACATGCTTCCTAGGGGAAAGACAGTCATAGGACACTGGAGACCTGGTTTCTGCTTTGGGCTCTTTCATGAATTTGCTTTAAAACTTCAGATAAGTCCTTTTCTATCTCTGCATCCAACTTCCTTTCACCCTTACCCAATGTTATCTATTTAGACAGTGAACTAAAGTTTGAACCGTTTCTTCAATCGCTTCACTGAGCATCTGACACAAAGAGAACCGATCTTACGTAAGCAAAGCATTACTGTAATATCACAAAGGTATCATCATTTAGATAACGCTTTAGAAGTTTAAACAACAATCATATGGGCAAATAAGGGGTTTTATTAAGGGACAGTACCTAGCACTGCAACACAGATGAAAACCAATAAAACTTAGGCAAAATAATTCATGAATATGGAGCTCATGAAGTTCCGCCAGGCATAAAATGAAATTGTACAACGTAGTGATGGCACCAGTATCAAACAGTTTGTCCTTAAGTAAAACTTAAAGACAAACTGATAGATAAAACAGCTAAACGATAAAAAGATAAAATTCTCAACTAATCACAAAATGAAAACTTGCTTATCAGACAGTTTATTTTATGATGTGATCTATACAAAAAACAGATACAAAAGGGAAAAGTCAACTTAACTCCTATTCACATTTTTGCTCCATACTGACTTGAGCACATCTCCTAAAGAGATACCACACGGACAGCATGAAAGTAAAATGAAAGTAAAAACCAAAAGTGTTTAAAATAGTGATATACCGTATAAAGATGGTTTATATGCGCTTACAAATACTGGTATAGTATCCTTCTGTGGGGAGAGGGGAAAAATGGTTATTTTCTGCTAAGAAGGCAAGTACGATTGCTCAGTGCTCATACAATGTCCTTTATACATCATAGAGTACTGCAATACCATTTTTAGGCTTCCACGGGTGGGTGCAGGCTATTAATATGACAAGTCAGTTCTATTGCTGCAAAATGAACCCCATTGCAGAATTACCCTGAAGGCAGTTTGCTCTGCGAAACCGTACACCTGTTAAGTCAACATTTTTCACTACTGCTTTCAAAAGCTAATGGGTTTAATAAAAAGAGGTTAACATTTATGTACTCCAGGATAATTACTTGGGTCACATTCTTAAATATTGTGGAAATGCTTGTTTGATTCAATCACTGTCACACTGTGACTTCCTAAGAAATATTCCCACAACAGCAGAATACTTCTGTAAGTCACCCTTTAAAGTGATTTAGGTAGCCTGCAATTACTACTTCCTGGACTATCTACTCTAGAGCAAATAATTTCAGAAAACTTAGTAAAGGTTCATTAATTTTTGAATCATGCATCTCTGAATACTAACGTATGGCGCAAAAATCTGTAAGTAGTTTTTCTAGTAAGCAAGGCAGCAGTCTTTCCAAAAAGCAGATGTCTTCTTGTCAATTTTTTAAATTTCTAAAATAAGTTAAATAACCACAGTCATTTTAAAGCTCACATTAATGGAAGTAACTTAAAGCCCTTAAAAATCTGAACGGAGCAGCACTCAGGCAAACCCTCTACATACAGTACAGCTATGAAATAATAATGAAGAGTTTTTCAGTTAAAAAGTTTATCATCTGTGATGAAAAAAAAGGGCTTCAGATTTCCACGCAATCAAATACAGCACGTTTCATATAAAACCAATTTGGTAAAATAAGTTAGTGAAGCAAAGACACTTCTAATGAATCAGTATCTTCGATTTCTGTAGCATGAGTCTCACTCTTGCCCCTCAACTCCAGAATCAAACCAAAAACCTGCACGTCTGAAATTGATGCAGCTCCCTCATGACAGTCCTGCAAGGAGGCTGATGTTTTTGTGGTGCTACATCTCCAAATCCTTCAAGACACATATCTGCTTCTGTAGTTTGTGCTTAGCTTAATCCAGTTGTTCTTTTTATCCAGTTTAATCACCCAGAAGTGGGCTGGAAGGTGACAGAGTAGATATCGAATTCTCACCTCCTATGTGCTAAATGCATTAAGATGAAATTACTTTTTACATATGTCACCATTAAGAGCACTTATTCCTGTTCCATCTAAAATACAGAGTTACAAAAGATGACAGGAGAATTTCCTGTTCAAAATAAATAATTAATGGGTACTACACAGTTACACACTAAGAAGAAATAAAGATCTGTCCTATTCATAGTAGAGCTAGAGGAATATTTGAGTTTGCATTTTCCAAGTTATTGTGTCACTACATACCACAGAATGACACATCCAGATGTACATACAAAAATACTTAAATGCTTCCAACTCTCTCACCTGCAGAGAATCTTTAATTACCTGCTTTTATAGGCTTACAAAAGAAAACAACATTCAGGTATTCATGAAATACAGTCTTCCCTCTTTTCTACATTTTCTTGAACAAGCAAAATTCAGCAGTAAAAGAGGGAAGAAAAAAAAGTTGTTCTTATTTGGCCTACGAATTACTGTCAAAATATGGCTGCAGCAGAAGTTGTGCCTTTCCCCATTTTAAAACTCCATCACACTGATTGAGCCACTGGTCCCAAAAACTGACTTAGTAAGATGAGTTCCTGTACATGTGCAGAGCGCTGCTGCACTCTTCCAGGGGCCATGAAACTCCCAGACATGTTAAGGCTGCAATAGGAATGGGGTATAGACATTTCTTGCCAGTAATATTTCTGTTACTGCCTAAGGCAAAATTAGAAAATTACAGAAATTTCTGAAATATTCCACATGTTTTATCTCCCTTTTAAAAATCTCCCCCCCACCCCAGTTTTTTTGAAGTCTAAGTCAGGAACTACAAAATCATTAATGAGTCTTCTACATTTCTGCTCTCTTGTTAAAATAGCAACTACTATGATCAAATGTTAAATTTTGTAAGAAAAAAGAAAAAAAGCGGAGTGCTGGAAGTGGATCCAAAGACTGTTTAATTCAAGCCCACTCATGGAAGCATGATAAGACTAGCTTAACAGTTCAGGCAGGGTTGGTATTTTTTTCTTTTCTCTAAAATTTTTTTTAAAACCTTCTGAGGAAAAGGTATTCTGCAACTTCCCTACAAGCCACGTGATTAGGCTAGTGATTAGCTAGCCTTGAAGCTGTGTTTTTTCCCTTTGCATTTAACAGGAATATTCTGCAACTCAAGAGATGTCAGCACTCTCCTTAAGACAAACAGATCGCCACCTTCTCACAGCAATCTCATGCCTACCGAAAGATTTATATTCCCCATTTCTTTGCTAGACTAAACAAATCCAGTTCTCTCAATCGTTCCTCACAGGTCATGTTTCCTACATCTGTCGTCATTTCTCTTACTCTCTGCCAGCTTCTTGCTGCCCCAAACCAGGTGCGTTTTTCTTGCTGAGTTTCACCATCAGTAAGCCCAATAAAATGGTTACTTCCTGCATCTTGCACACAACAGCCCTGCTAATGCAATCCCGGACCAGATCTGGCTTTTGGCAATGGCAATTAAGTTGTTGACTCACACTCGCCTGCGTGCCACTAATGCCCAGCTCC